TTTTTGTCCTTTTACTTTTTGAAATTTGGCAACCCTAGAGTACAATGACTTAAATGGGATATGTAAAAAAGAAATTAGAAAAGGAGAAAGGAAAAAATCACAATTTCCCCACATCTAGTTTAAATTAGGGCTTTATCTTCAGTGTAAATACAAATTTCTCCCAATACTCCAAATTTCTCCAAAATTTGGCCTGTCAATCAGTGCAGATAGTCAGAAACAACCAACCTGTAGATCACAGACTCATAGATGGGGCACTTTAGAAAGAAGCCTACTTTTCACTCCTGGCATGAAATGGTGTTTCTGTATAGCACAGTGTTGTCTGGTGAACAGGACAGATCAATCCACATTCTGCTATGGATTCATTAAGTAGTCCTAAATAAATCTATATTTCTCTCTCTCTCAGTTCTGAAACTGAAAGGTCTCATGTGGTTATAACAGAAATAAGCTAAAGTTTGCAAAGGCCTTTTTATGTTAAATCATGATAACAGTGAGCAGGGGCAGTTTGAGAGCAATGTTTTTGAAACTGTATCTTCTTGGTGGATTTTTATTATTGGGTGGAATCTTCAATCTCTGTGTCTGAAGTTCCAGGAGTTCTCCTCCATTTCCCTGCCACACACACACACACAGACACACACACACACACACACACACACAGAGAGAGAGAGAGAGAGAGAGAGAGAGAGAGAGAGAGAGAGAGAGAGAGAGATCACAACTCCATTGACTTGGCTGCAGCCTCCAGACCTGCCCTTCCAACCTGGGCAAAAGAAGCGAGAACCTCGAAGGAGAGGATATTGGATACAGTGGAGAAAATACTATAAAGTGTAAATCAAAGATGATGTCTAGTTTATGAGAATTTTGCCTTAAGACACATTTTTATTCCCCAAAGCCTCTTTGCTAAAGCATTTATTACTGATCCTAATTCCTCTTGCAAACTTAGTTAATACTCATGGCTATCTTTTGCATACAGAATAGCACACATGCCGTTCGGATGACGTGACTTGCTGACTGATGTGCAGCTCAGCAGAGTGAGCTACCAAGTCGAAGGAAGAATAGCCCAAAGGGATATGCAGCTTAAAATAAAATTATATGACACCTTTTTAAAAAATGTTATGGTCAATGAATATTCTATTGTTTTTAATTAAGCTGTAACATACCCACAATGGAACGTGTAGGCACCACATATCGTACAATAAGTTGGGCATTTCCTCTTTAACTTGCCCAATTATCTCCCTGGGGGAGCGGGAATTCTTCTTCCTCTGGGGTAGTAAAATATCATTTATGTAACACTCAATTATTGGATCACTTTTTAATAATAATAATAATAATAATAATAATAATAATAATAATAATAAACAACTAATCCCCAGAACTACCAATTATCAGTGTCTAAGTAAAATCTCCTTATCTCTTCTTCAGCAGTCTCTATGCATATCTTCTTTACAGGAATCATGGTTAAACTGTTAGGATATTGGATGAGGAACCAGAATACCTGGGCACCGTTCTTGGAATAGCAGTAGAACTCCTGTAATGTAGGGCCATCACCTGAAACTGATCTGTACAATCAGGATACTCACATTGTGAAGATTCCTAGAGGCAGATATGGTGTTTCATAAAGGGTGTACAACTTTATACATGTAGATTTGGGAATAAATCCTGTTGAACTCACTGGGGCTTACTCCTGAGCAGAGCTGGATAGCTTTGCTTTATAAATGTTGAATGACCATTAATATTATTGTTATTATGCCAGTTATAGTGCATTTTCTGAGAAAGGCCACATTACCCTCCCTAGTGGTAGGGACACCAAAAGTATAAAAATCTATAAAATGATGCTGCTGAAAGAAGAAATTGTGTGTGTCGGAGAGAGAACGATAGAGAGAGACAGACGGAGAGAGAGAGCACCAAATATGCATATTATATATGCTATTTGAATTTATGATATACAGTGGTACCTCGGGTTACAGACGCTTCAGGTTACAGACGCTTCAGGTTACAGACTCCGCTAACCCAGAAATATTACCTCGGGTTAAGAACTTTGCTTCAGGATGAGAACAGAAATCATGCTCCGTCGGCGCAGCGACAGTGGGAGGCCCCATTAGCTAAAGTGGTACTTCAGGTTAAGAACAGTTTCAGGTTAAGAATGGACCTCCGGAACGAATTAAGTACTTAACCTGAGGTACCACTGTATGACTATCGCCAACAATTCTGGGAGTGCATTGAAGCCCTATTTGATCAGAAAGTGGGGCATAGGGATCCAAGACTTTGATGTACCACTTCCTACTATTTTTTAAAAAGCTTTTAAAAATATATATCTCTAGCCTTAATTAATCCAATAATTCCTACCTCTCTTGGGCCGATTCAGTCTTTATGTCCAGAGGGGAATAATAAATCTGCATGGGCTAGATAATGCCACAGACAAGAAGTCTTTGTTGCTCAGAGTTCGGTGCTTGTTTTGGAAACTCAGATTTCATCTTGAGTGGGGAGAAGGACCAATGTCCTGTAAAAGAACAAAAATTATGACTAAATGAGACGAATGCAACAAAGAGTCTTGTGGCACCTTGAAGACTGACACATTTATGGGGGCATAAGGGACGCGGGTGGCGCTGTGGGTTAAACCACAGAGCCTAGGACTTGCTGATCAGAAGGTCGGCGGTTCGAATCCCCGTGACGGGGTGAGCTCCCGTTGCTCGGTCCCTGCTCCTGCCAACCTAGCAGTTCGAAAGCACATCAAAGTGCAAGTAGATAAATAGGTACTGCTCCTGCAGGAAGGTAAAGGGCATTTCCGTGTGCTGCTCTGGTTCGCCAGAAGCGGCTTAGTAATGCTGGCCACATGACCCGGAAGCTGTACGCTGGCTCTCTTGGCCAATAAAGCGAGATGAGCGCCACAACCCCAAAGTCGTCAGTGACTGGACCTAAGAGTCAGGGGTCCCTTTACCTTTACCTTTAAGATTTTGTGTGCCAGATGCACAAACTGATATGGTCAGTATACAAGAGGAGGAAGAGGAGGTTTTGCACAGAGATAAAGCAAAAGGACACAACTGAATACAACGTACAATCAAGTGAACTAGTATAAGATTGAATGACATGAGTGTGACCCAGTCCTAACTTGTGACCCCTGGTGATGACTAGGCAAAGCTAGGTCAATTGTGTTAACAGACACCTAACGGGAGGCAATTACTTTCCACAGTGAGCTAGCCACACCCAGGATTTCTTGGGACTGAATTCCTTGATGTTATTATTAATACTGAATTCCATTCCAGCAGTTTCATATTGGAGTGCCCCTTGGAAATGATGGTTTATGCCTCTTTATGATTATTAATCACTCGCACCCACTAGCTGCAAATGGGCGACACTTTTCTTCTCCTCTCTCTCCTCAGGAAATCTGTACCTACTCAGTGCACCTGGTGAAGTGAGCTGTGGCCCACATAAACTTATGCCGCAATAAATCGGTTAATCTTTAAGGCACCACAGGACTCCTGGTGACTTCTGCCGCAACACCTACCCCTCTGGAATTACAAATAGATCCTTGAGGACAATTACCAGCTTCTAAAGTAATTATACTGCCACCTAACGTCTCTAAAAACCAACAAAAATTATCTCGAATGCAATGCCTCAATCAAGAGCCATACAGTGATAATTTCTGATGCCCTCAGCACTGAGCACCCTTTCATGAGGGCTGGCTCCAATTAGAATCCAATTAAAAATCCACGCTTTTAATATGCAATTTACAAATGTACCAATTCATTCAATTAATAGCTTCAGCCCTCGCAGGTTCCTTTCCTTACTTGGGAAAGTTGAAAGGAAAGACTATGGAGACGTAGAATGGCATACAAGCGGCTCCTGTTTGCCTCACAACTCAAAGAATCTTAGTTTATGACCAGTTTATAATTCTACCAAATGAGATTATTTCCTTGTAAGCAACTTTAGTCAGACTTACATCAGTCAGCAGAGATTGCCGTCAGTGGTTCTTTGCTCATTAACTTTGAACCTTCTGAGGAATCCAAATAATAATAAAAATACTGACTCCAAGAATTTTTTTTCTAATGCAGGAGGGGAGAGGAACGAAACCACATGGTCTCAGTTATAGCAATGGAAAAAACCTGAGCAGAACTGAAAGGAACATTTCCAAAATTCCACCACACTTTTCAATATTTTCCTTTTAAAAAATATATTGGTGGATTTTTGAGAACAAGTGATAGTGCTGTTACAAAGATTTAAGTACACCCAATAGTTATAACATGTCAGGAACAAAACATAATAAACCCAAAATAATTCTGAATGTGAATTTTTAAATTAAAAGTTGTATGTGCATTGTTTCGTCATTCATCAAATATGAAACCTCTCATGATTATCAAATACAACGTGCCATTGCATTTCAGCTTTTGAATGCTATAAAATGCTAAATAAGCATTTTATGTCAAAGATTAGATATAGTTAAAGATTAAATAGTATTGCATGCCAACCACCAAGTGTTGTCAAATATCAAATAATATCTAATTATTTTTTCTATACACTCTTACTCCTCACTGTGGTTCTGATGAAAATTGTCCCCCTGAAACTGCTATTTGCCTTGTATTGCTGGAACTTCAGTTGGGGTGTGGTGTGGTGGAGAGTATTAAACTCTCCCTCCCTATCCCCTGTGGTCCCAGGGCCGCTCAATCCCTCCAGCTGCTATTTACAGTTTCTAAAAAAAACCAAGTTTGTAAATTGCATCCATACAATTACTATAATGTTCAGTTTGGCCTGAGTCTAAGGATTCCCTGCTCTATTACAGAGATAGTCCCTGCTTCTGTGTTGCTGCTGTTGTTTGCTGTTGTTTTACTTCCATGTGGGTTGTGCTCTAGCCCTTGGCATCAGTGGAGCACACAGCCACCCATCGTTTCTTTAAAAGAGACATCTTTAATCCACTGTAGCACCACCACCTCACTCCACTGGAGTGGATAATGTCGGTTGAAAAAATATGGACTTATTACCTTGTATGTATCTTGTCTTCACAGGCAAGAACTGCAGAAAGAATCTCTATATCCTTTTTGAATTTAGGAAAGATGCATTCGGCTTAGAAAGCAGTTTATGGAGCTGCAGGGCAAGGGGAAAACATTGGCGTCAGCAAATCCTGAGTTAAAAACTCAGTGGAAGAAGGTACTTTGGATTTTGCTCAAAGGAATCTGGCTGAAATCAATATGTGGAGTTGAAAGGCTACCTCAGTCCCTTTGGCCACCCACTAGGTGAAATTCCCTCTCTCAAATAGACCCAATTCAAGTATTGCAAATCCTCCTTTAGGCTTCCGGAGCTGTCATTTGGGGTCATCTGGGGTTTGTGGATGCTCACAAGTCCCCATGACTCCTGGCTGCCAGGCAGGGCATTCTGTACCCAGGGGTGCAAGGGGTGTGGGGCACCTGGGCGCCAAATTCTTGGGGGCGCCAAAGAATACCAGTCCCTCTCGATTGGCGGCAGTGAAAAGCAATGGTGCGAAAGTCCCCACCCACTTCCTCCGTCGCTCTGTTACTCTGTAGTATCAAATATACCCGATGAGTCAGGAAACAAAAGCAGTATTTTGTTGTTTCCCCTCTAAAAAAAAGCTCAACAATTTTGGCTTTTGGCTTTCCCCCTTCCCCAGAAAGCTCAATAAAAGTTGTTAATTTGGAAGCGGCTAAACTAAATTTGGGGGTGCTGGGCGCATCTTTGCACCCTGGCAGCGCATATGCTAAAGACGGCCCTGCTGCCAGGAATTACAGGCACTTCCAGTGGCAAATGATATATCTGTGCAACTGGAAAGTGGCCCCTCTGGAACTTCTGTCTGACTGCAAAGCTTTGGTCCATTTGGAAGCCTTCACAATCTCCAGCAAAAATAATAAGAGCCCTCTGTATCCTTGGGGAAAGGAGGGGCTGACAAGGAAGGGTAGCTGCAGTAAATTGGGCTGCTTTGAGTTTTCTACTGAGCTGCAACCCATTTATTTGAGGCCACACAGGATGTGAGTACACAGTGGAAGTGAAGAACAGGTTTAAGGATTTAGATTTGGTGGACAGAGTGCCTGAAGAACTATGGATGGAGGCTCGCAACATTATACAGGAGGCAGCAACGAAAACCATCCCAATGAAAAGGAAATGCAAGAAAGCAAAGTGGCTGTCCAACGAGGCCTTACAAATAGCGGAGGAGAGAAGGCAAGCAAAATGCGAGGGAGATAGTGAAAGATACAGGAAATTGGATGCAGATTTCCAAAAAATAGCAAGGAGAGACAAGAAGGCCTTCTTAAACGAGCAATGCAAAGAAATAGAGGAAAACAAAAGAATGGGAAGAACCAGAGATCTGTTCAAGAAAATTAGAGATATGAAAGGGACATTTCGTACAAAGATTACCATAATAAAGGACAAAAGTGGTAAGGACCTAACAGAAGCAGAAGACATCAAGAAGAGGTGGCAAGACTACACAGAGGAATTATACCAGAAAGATATGGATGGATATACACCCCAGATAGTGTGGTTGCTGACCTTGAGCCAGACATCCTGGAGAGTGAAGTCAAATGGGCCTTAGAAAGCACTGCAAATAACAAGGCCAGTGGAAGTGATGGTATGCCAGCTGAACTACTTAAAATTTTAAAAGATGATGCTGTTAAGGTGCTACACTCAATATGCCAGCAAGTTTGGAAAACTCAGCAATGGCCAGAGGATTGGAGAAGATGGGTCTACATCCCAATCCCAAAGAAGGGCAGTGCCAAAGAATGCTCCAACTACCGCACAATTGCACTCATTTCACACGCTAGCAAGGTTATGCTTAAAATTCTACAAGGAAGGCTCAAGCAGTATGTGGACTGAGAACTCCCAGAAGTGCAAGCTGGATTTAGAAGAGGCAGAGGAACCAGAGACCAAATTGCAAACATGCGCTGGATTATGGAGAAAGCTAGAGAGTTCCAGAAAGACATCTACTTTTGCTTCATTGACTATGCAAAAGCCTTTGACTGTGTCGACCACAGCAAACTATGGCAAGTTCTTAAAGAAATGGGAGTGCCTGATCACCTCATCTGTCTCCTGAGAAATCTCTACAGTTAGAACTGGATATGGAACAACTGATTGGTTCAAAATTGGGAAAGGAGTACGGCAAGGCTGTATATTGTCTCCCTGCTTATTTAACTTATATGCAGAATTAATCATGCAAAAGGCTGGGCTGGATGAATCCCAAGCCGGAATTAAGATTGCCAGAAGAAATATCAACAACCTCAGATATGCAGATGACACAACCTTGATGGCAGAAAGTGAGGAGGAATTAAAGAACCTTTTAATGAGGGTGAAAGAGGAGAGCGCAAAATATGGTCTGAAGCTCAACATCAAAAAAACGAAGATCATGGCCACTGGGCCCATCACCTCCTGGCAAATAGAAGGGGAAGAAATGGAGGCAGTGAGAGATTTTACTTTCTTGGGCTCCATGATCACTGCAGATGGTGACAGCAGCCATGAAATTAAAAGACGCCTCCTTCTTGGGAGAAGGGCAATGACAGGCCTAGACAGCATCTTGAAAAGTAGAGACGTCATCTTGCCAACAAAGGTCCGTATAGTTAAAGCCATGGTTTTCCCAGTAGTGATGTATGGAAGTGAGAGCTGGACCATAAAGAAGGCTGATCGCCGAAGAATTGATGCTTTTGAATTATGGTGCTGGAGAAGACTCTTGAGAGTCCCATGGACTGCAAGAAGATCAAACGCATCCATTCTGAAGGAAATCAGCCCTGAGTGCTCACTGGAAGGACAGATCGTGAAGCTGAGGCTCCAGTACTTTGGCCACCTCATGAGAAGAGAAGACTCCCTGGAAAAGACCCTGTTGTTGGGAAAGATTGAGGGCACAAGGAGAAGGGGACGACAGAGGACGAGATGGTTGGACAGTGTTCTCGAAGCTACTAACATGAGTTTGACCAAACTGCGGGAGACAGTGGAAGACAGAAGTGCCTGGGGTGCTCTGGTCCATGGGGTCACGAAGAGTCGGACACGACTAAACGACTAAACAACAACAACAAGATGTGAGAGCCCATCTCTGCTAAGCCAGAAAGAATTATGAGAAATAACACGAGCAACAAATTAAAATGGGGAATTGTAATAAAACAATCTTTTGCAACAAGGACTGTTCTTGCTCAGTGGATATTGGTAATTTTATTTATTTATTTATTTATTATTTTTTTAATAATTTTTATTGCAAAGTAAATACATCAATACCAAACCATACATAAAGAATAATATAAAGAGAAAAAAATAAAGAAGAAAAAGAAAAAAATGCAAAGAACAGTAGACAGTAAAAGAATAAAGAAAAGTATTATATTTCAATACAATAAACACTATTTTACAAAATATTAGTAATAATAGACTTCCATCACTCTCACAACACTTCCTTTCACATTTCATATTTTATCTGTATTTCAGTATTATTTTCATCTTAATATATAGATGTGTATGTATGTTTCTCCTTTTCCATTCACGAGGTCATTCTAGACACAGCCAAATTTTTACATTAGAACCTTGTCTTTCTAAATAATCATTCAAGCACTTCCATTCCTTCTTGACTGTATTCATTGGCTTTAGTCTTATTATATCTGTCAATTTGGCCAGTTCCAAATACTCACATAATTTACATAACCATTCCTCTTTGGTCAGTACCTGGTTACCCTTCCAGTACTTAGTCACCAGGTTTCTCGCTGTTGATGTCGCATACAGAAAGAATTTAGTATTTTCTCTAGGAATATCACTATTCAATATTCCCAAAAGACTTGTTTCTGGTCTTTTGCTATGTGAAGTTCTTAGTAACTTTTTTATTTCTTCATGGATCATGTCCCAGAACTTTCTGATCTCTGGACATGCCCACCACATATGGTAGAAGGTTCCAATCTGCTTTGTGCATCTCCAACACTTATTACTAAGTGATTTGTTCATTTTAGCCAATCTCTCTCGTGTTAAATACCACCTATGGTGCATTTTCAGGTAGTTTTCTCTTATTAAATAACATGCTGTAAAATTTATATTTTTTGTCCACAGTTTCCCCCACTCTTTATATTCAGTTACATAACCTAAGTCCTGCTTCCATCTTATTATGGCCTTTCCCTTTGGTCATTTTAATTAGCAGGGCCTTGTAAGTTCAGGACACTCGTTTGCTTTGTGGGGCTCCTTTAGCAGTGGTACAATACAGTATGTTAGTATAATCCTATAGGGTGGAACTCAATATTGTGCTAATGCAATTGTTCCATCAGCACAAACATTTTTTGTTTGTCAGACGGAATAATATCCCCTCTCACGCCTACCCACCGCTGTTCTGGGGGTTCCCCTCACCTTTCAGTGTGAATTCGGGGGAGGAAAGGGGAACCCCCATTGCATTTGAGGGAGTCCTTTCACTGGCTTCCACTAGTGCAGCAGGTGAGTTGAATCTGGCCCACAAAATAAAAATATGTGAACTTTCCTTCTGATATTCTGTGGGCAAAAGTTTTCTTCTAACTTTTGTTTCTGAAATTGCGGATCATCTTGCCCTTCCTTTCTTCACCAAGGCAACCATTTTCAGATATTTGGTCATACAGATATGCCTATAAACCTAATTGATTGATTAAACAGTTAAAGGGTAGATTACCCATTAATGACAAATTCTGAAATTGGTTGACAGCCCTATATATATTTTTTATAATAAACCATGCCATAAAAATATGTGTGCAGTAGTGGTGGCAGCCTGTGGGCGATTTGCATTCAAGGATTGGCACTTTTGATACCAGTTGCCCATTGCATGCTCAGAAAGATTTGGCCACTGTGACACGCTGCATGGCATTATGCATAGTTTAAGAAGGCAGGCATGGCCTGTCCCTGCCGCAGCCACAGAAACAATTTAGCAATACTCCTTAGGCGACATAGAGATGATCTGAACACGGAATCGCTCTTCCTCAAGAGATAGGGTGGGATCTAACATAGCCTCCAGGATCCTTTTAATTCCAAGGCACAAAGAGTTTGATTGCCATTCAACCTAACAGCTGGCAGCGCAAAGAGCCAAGAAGGAATTTTGAGCCAAGGAGCAATATTTCTGCCCTCTTGGGAAGGAGTATGAGAGAGTTCATTGATACCCCCAGATTGGACATCCAATACACAACCCAGCCAGTTACACATGAGTCATCCTATTTATTTTC